ACTCATTTACTTGCCATGTATACTCGAGGTCAGTATTCTGTTACTGCGCTTTGTTTTGTTTCAGGGGAAATTGCGCACTTTGTAGGCTTTGCCACCGAGGGCGGCCGAAATAACGCCGGCCAACTGCTACCCATCTCACGGACAAATTAGTGGGCTTGTAGTCATTAGAAAGTGCCATCGTATTGCCCCTCACAGTGCATGCAAAGGTTAGGAGGATTCGTGTAGCTTTGATTCCTGAGGGGGTACGATTGTGTATATGTTACAAAGTCATATCAAAAAGGGGCTTCTGTAATATTAATTCGACCAAGACCTAGAACCCCAATTTAGCCGTTCTCAGGTACTGCGTCCTGACCCGGTCCCTGCCATCTGCTATTAGAAATGTTCAACCGCCCCTTGTTGTCAGAACAGAGTGTGAGCTTTCGGCCTTAATTCTGAGCTTTAGACTGTTGTCCTCGATGCCGATACGGAGAAGAATCTATTGTCATTCTCTTGTCATTTTTCGTTAAAAATATCGATCACTCAGGCCAGGCCAGTGAAGGCATTGGTCGAAGCTCTCACTACGGAAGTCAGCGCTTTCAGCTTACTGGTTATCGGCCACAGTGAGCCGAGCCTTCTTCCATACCGGCAGGGACAAAATCAAACTTAGAGTCAGTCTGGCGTTCGGGGTCTTCGTTCAAATCCGTCGAAACCTTTGAAGTTGGCATAAGATCAGTTGGAAGGCCAAGTTGCTACTTTAGGCGACTTCTGTAGGGATGCTCCTTTAATCTCCCTCGCGCTCAGAAGGTACGCATCTGCTGAAAGTGTGTGGTCAGTCATGCTCGCGCTCCCTCCAGCGAATTCTTTTCGCCAATTGCATCTTCACCGAAAGGCTACTTTGTTGGCCACGATAATAATTTGTCAGCTGGTCCCTCCTTACTAGCCGACTGAGGAGACTCAGCCACGTCTCAAACACGAGATTGTTTTGGATCGTTGAAGTACTGTTTTCCAGGAAGAAATCTGAATAAGTCGATGTCTTGGATGTCTCGCCCACCCTCCCTCCCTCCCCCTCCGCCCTCATGACAGCTTTGGCGTGACCAACTTGACGGCTGACGCATCCATGACCTTTCGGTGTGCGGGGTCGGTGTGCCTAGTGGCTCGGATTCGTTTGGTTGTTGACTGCCCACCGGTCGTCATTGAAGACGGTCATCTACGACTTGAAGCACGGTCAAAACTGGTCCGCATCGGGGAAGTGTAAGACCTTCAGCAAGCTGTACTGTTAAAAAACGTCAGCACATTCTTCGCATCGCTGTCCGCAAATTAGTAATACCCCTTTACTAGATTGGTACAAAGCAAGATCGGTGGTTTGACTGGAAGAACGAAACTTAGTTGAGGGGGCTCATCTACCTGGCAACAGGTCGTGCACTGTAATTAAACGAAGTGTCAATATTCTTACTTCTCAGGTATCTGGGCTCTATGGCATGGCCACTCACGTGAGATTCGAGCCGACCCCTTTTGTTCTGGGAAAATCTGGTGCATGCTCATGAGACGGGTTGTGTGTGGTACGCGTACACAAGCCGTTTAGAGTCTTCGGCCACTGACCCCGATTCCATCTCAGGTCGCTCTGACTTAGTCTTGCTACCAGGTCTAGGAAGGTGAGGGAGGAGTGAGTGAGGGAGATGCTGTACAAGTCCGCTGCCACTATAAACTAGTTCACACCCAAGGTCATCGTCAATGCACCCACCTTACTGTTGGGCACTCGGTGGACATTTTCGTTCGCCACGGTCGGCTAACAAATATAAGGGAAATTACGTTTGTATCCTCTATTTGAGGGACAGCTTTTCAGTCCGCACCGGTAAATCCTTTGCCGTGTTGTCACTATCCTGTCCCGTAATGTCGGAGCATTTTTAGCAACAGATTTAAATGCATGCTAAAAATATTAATCGAGAAGTTAGGAGTTCCGGCGTTTCGTCTTTACGTCGCACACTGCGCTGCTTTTTACCCACCACGTGTTGGTTTCGCCGAATTTGTGCAGCTTTTAACAGCCACATACCTCATCTAAATTTCCGCTCTGCCAAAGGTTCCCCGTCCGTCCTAATAAGCTTCACTTTGCCTGTTTCTCCACTTTTAGTCGACTGGCGAGTTCGCCCATTAGGACTCTTCGTGAAGCACTGGGCACAGAAAATGGACATTCATGACGGTAGCCGGGGTCGTCTCTCCACTTATCCGCTCTTGTTAATGCTGCTGCAGTACCTTCAGTGTGGTTGCTCTCCACCGATTATTCCCAACCTTCAAGCCCGTTTCCCTGTGAGTTTACTCAATCTGTCTCGGCCATTATGCATCTTGGCCGTCGCTTCAAGGACTTCTGGACTCACATGACTAACTGTCATCCCTTCCTCCCCCTCCTCCTCCTCCTCCTCCTCCTCCTCCTCCGCCTCCTCCCCTCCCCCTCTTCTCGGTCTGGGCTGTTTTGCGCTCCACTAGCTTCCCCTTCCCCCTCCTTTCGTTCCCTTCCATTGATTTGTGTGTTATCGTTTTCAGAAGGGCTAAACTAAGCTGTTTACACGCCTACGAAACTCGCCCAAGTAGATGAGTCCTCTCTGTTAACCCAGTCGCAGGCTACTGGAAGCGTTCACAGGTCCTGGAAGAAGGATCCGCCCCGGGAAGACGAGTTTACTGACTAGCCTAGCTGACGACCGTCCCGCGCGCCCACGGAAGGCGGGTAGTGGGACGACGTCCAGCAAAGGTTGGTCGCAAACTAAGTAGGCTGTCGGGCCTGACGGATATGCAGTCGCGGACCAGAACACCGGAGCCTTAAGTCGGATCCATTGATTGACTTTTAAAATACCACAAAACCTGAGGATGACCCTTTGAACCTCAGTTAAAGAACCATACTTGCTAACGTTGCCGGGCATCCAGGTTCCTGATCCAAGGCACTTAATCAGACAATCTCGACCAAGCAATCCAGACGGCTGTTTGATCCCTGCCTATAATCAAAATTCTCAAGAAACCTAATGCATAAAGTGCCTGTAAACGCTATTACGATTCATACTATGGCAACCTTCGGAACTGTCGATTTCTTCAGTCCTAATTAATTGATGCAGACGTGTAGTATGTAAGCTGGGATACTCAATCGAAAAGGGATCTTTTGGTGTTGGACACTGGGACATGTGGACATTCCATGGCACATGTTCTCAACGTTGAATAGCTCGCCATCATAGTACGAGATGGGTGTCTGTTGTCCGCCTACAGTTTCTGGCAAGGAGTTTGTTGTCCTAGAAATTAATGACTGTCAGTGTAAAGAAGTGGACAGTGGATGCATTCCGCTGACAGACGGATGCAGAGGTCCTCGAAAGATTATACCCGTCGGCACTGAAGTTAAACTTGCATTTCCTACTCGAGGACCGGTCTCATTTGACGGAGACGGTCTTTTCTTGGCCACCTACAAAATTGCGAGCTTAAACTCCGTCGGGAAGTTTTGACGTTTTTTCGTACTGTTTGCGTTGCATTGTTCGCAGTCGCTTACGCACCGCTCTGATAAGCGCTCTGAAGCCCTGTATAGACTTAAAGTGGGCTTGTCTTATTGTCGCGCCTAGTTAAGACAACTGACTTTTTGCATGGGAACCGATATCCAACGCCAGTTTTTGTTTGCAACGTCATGCAGTAGAAAGTAGAGTCCTAGAGAGTGCCTGCGTTTGTAATGCCATTTACCAAGCCGGGTTCGTTTGGCTGTAGGTTGAATGTTGACCTCCTTGCGAATGATTACGCAAGGTTTTCAGGCCTTCACAGAACGCGACCAAACCATTCCGGTGCGTTTGTCTGGCTGTATTCCGGGCCGGCATTACGATTCTACCTTGACAGCAAATCCAGAGAATGGAGCGCAAATACCATCGGTCAAATACATCCAGGCGATAGACACCTTCTGAGCAAATAGGCCGTGCCTTACATCCGTGCATGATTGTTTTGACCGCGGCTCCGTGTGTTGGCGCCTTGGTCTTTAGGTTGAACTCTTGCTCCTAAAATGGACCACGCGGTAGATGGGCTGGACCAACACGGAGGCTAAATCGGATTCTGGCAGGCGTTATCGAGAAGGCACACCCTTAGACAAATGCCAACATTCGGGATGCGGTGACAGGCCCAGTTGCCGACCCTCGTCGAGCCAATTGGGGTCCGTTCTGCCTCCTACTTTTGTTGTGGTTAGCATCATCAGGGGTGTGGAGTTACGCGTAGGGTCGGGTTTACGTCGTGCCAGCCACCTGCGCCCTCTCCCACCTCTGGCTTCCTTGTCTTTGTCTTGGCACCGGATCTAGGTGGGGGAGAAGGACTGAGTGCGGTAGATGCTGTGCAAGTCCACTGCCACTATAAACTAATTCACGCGCAAGTCACCGTTCCTGCCGTCGCCCTGCTGTGGAGCACACGGTGGACATAGTCGGGTGCGACGGTCGCACTGTCGTCTTCAGGGTAAACTCACTTCGACTCCAGAGGTTCCAGACACGCCTCGGTGTTTGAAGTCGCCTTTGTCTCCCCAAGCAGTTGTAGTACTCGTACAGTTCAACGAATGTAAAGTTTATGAACTGTTGTTCGATTGCGGCAAAAAGCACTTTGTCAAATCACCTCGGCATACAAAGTGGATTTTTCTTCTACGCTCTCCTAACGTTCTTACAGAAATGCCGCCTAGGCGTAATCATTGATTCTTCGTCTTGATATGCTTCTGGTCTTTTTCCGGCCTGCAGTTTTTTCCTCTGTCATGGATGGCCTGCCGAAATCGTCCTTTTGATTGGACGGTAGTTTGAGACATTAACCTTTATGCCATGAGCCTACGCCAAAGTTGACTATAAAGCAGATTCCTGACACTCATGTCTGGTTCTTTACCCACAGAAACTGTTCAATTACGAGCGTCCGGTGAATGAACTGGACATGCGACTGGAACTGCCCTGGGCGGAACTGCGCAGTAGCAATACGGCAACCCTGTCCGAACTGTTTGCTGGCTTCATACAATACTACAATAGCTTCGACTTCAACCAATGGGCCATCTCCATAAAGCATGGCGCCCCAATGCCCATTAATGTGGCCATCCGCTGCCTGCCGCCGCATGAGCAGGCGCATACTACCTCTTCTTTCAAAATCTTTGTTGAAGGTTTGTCAAAGTCCTTCTGACCTCTTGTTTCACCTATCTAAAGGTACTTTTGTGCTCGGAATCGTTTGTGTGACCCGCCGGCATGATACAGGAATGTGGTAACACCCCCCCCCCCTTTTTATACAGGTGGCCTTGTGCTACATTCCAGGAAGGACAAATATTCCCGTGTCCTAACCCTAACCATAACCCCGATCTTAATCTTAGTCGCAATTTTCCTAGGATCTAGCGCAAGGCTACCTGTATTCCGGGAGGGGGGGATTCCTGTTCCTCAATCCAGTCGGCGGCGGGGGGAGAGGACGTATAAACAATACCTGCCCATTAGTTGCCTACAGTGATTTCCCTAATTTCTCGCCTTCCCCCACGCATTCTTTTCCAGCCCACTTTCTTTTCGGCTGAACTTAACCTTCTTCCAGTTCAGAATTCGCACTATGTCGCCAATTTGTTCGGCACTGCTTCTATTGATTACTCTCTTTATACACACCGAGGTTACTGTTGTATGCAGAATTGAGCCTTCTCATAGGAAAACCGCGATGTACTACTGGTGTTAGTGTTTCATTCTTGACCTCGACGATTCTTAGCATCTACCCCCGCATTCAGGACTTGATACGCAGCACTTCCGTTAGCTGACTCGACAAGGACGCAGTATGCGACCCCACGCAGGGAGCAAAAAGCAGGTCATCGTGGCATAGTTTGTTCTCGCCTTTTTTGTAATTGACCTTTCCGCGCTCTCGTAACTAAGTGGAATGTAATCTACTTTTGTGAAAACAAGCCGGAAGAACTGCGAAAGGTGCTCAACGCTTGCTTACACTGTCAGATATCTTGATACCCTCATCATTCCTCACAGATCGGGTTCCTGATACGTAGGCTCTGTTGTGAGTAGCCATAGAGAAATTCGACGCGAGAACGCCATATGACCCCCTAACATTTACCCGAATATTCACCAACCATCACGCTATCCTTTCCGCCGTCCTGCCCCATCCATAAAACCCGTATTGCAAGATGACCTGGTTTTTGTTCCCTGAGTGCGGTTGCATACCGCGTCGTTGTCGCTGACTCCTTAGATAAAACAAGAGGAAAGAGACACGCAATGGTCTTTTGTTGGGATTAATGTCTTTTTTTTGTAGACCCTATACAGTAGATAGTTGACTCCTGCAGTCGCTGTCAGGTCGGACACACAGTGAGTGACCGATCTCATGAAATGTTGGCTGAAATTCTGAAATGCGTTTTTGTCTGAGAAGGATTACTTAGGTGCGGTTGTAAGACTGATTTTCTTGCGACATAATCCTATAATATTTCGAACTCGACAGGATGTCAGCTTTTGAATGTACTTCTTTTCGACCTGCAGAGACCGTACTCGGTAAAGAATAAGGACTTAAGTAGCATGCATTTTTCCCATTGATTTTTGGTAGTATTGCAAATTCAAATATATTTTATGAAAAACACTGATAAAAATGCCGTCTTTTACTCATTTGATAGATAATAACGTTATCTTTTTTATTATATCCTCGAAGAAGGAGTATAATTAGGTTTTAAAAAAGTTTTCTCATTCCCGAATAGTTTGGGGCCTGATTAGCCGTTACATTGGTGCTTGCTGATTTCAGTCCACAAGGTACATGAGTTCCGTGCATGGAAAATCACATATTCTTCTATGCCTTTGAAAAGATACCATATAGAGTCCATAAAATTTTGCAATGGGTGCGGACTAGGTTGTACATTTCATGAGGAGCAGTGGTAAACGGACGGATACGATGCTCTGTGAATGGGCATTCCAAAGTCTTTAAAAATCTCATAATTAGAAACTTCCTAAAACCTAATTATACTCCTTCTTCAAGTAAATAATAAAAATATGACGTGATTATCAATCAAATGAGTAAAAGAAAGCATTTTTATCTGTTTCTCTTGCGATATATTTGACTTTGCAATATAATTGAAAATCAATGGGAAAAATGCATGCTACTTAAGTAGTAATTCTTTACCGAGTACGGTTTCTACAGAAGGTCGCAAAGAAAACATTCGAAAGCTGACATCCTGCGGAGTCTGAAATGTTGTAGGATTATACCACAAGATAATCAGTGCTAGAACCGCGCCTAAGTAATCCTTCCTAATCGAAAACGCATTTCAGAATTTCGGCCGACATTTTATGAGATCGGTCACGCACTGTAACTGATGCATTGCTGATATTTATCTCGCCCCTCCGAAAATGCTGGCCTGATAACGGTGTTTGTTGACAACCAGTGTCCCTAGGCTGCCTGAAATTTCAAACTTTACCCCGGTAAAACACGAGAAAAGGAACCTCCAGGAAGGTCAGGACTAGTGTTAACGTTTTGGTGAAGGTTAGGGTTAGGGTTAAGGCTGAGGTTAGGTTTACGACACAGAAATACTTAATCCTCCCGTAATTTCGTAGAAGGACACTTATATGACCAGGAGGTTCCTATTCCCATGTTCCGTTTCCTTTTGAGGAAATTGCTTTTCAAAGCAGCTTACCCTAACTACTGACCCCTTTTTAATGGCAAACCATTAGTTAGTAATTTTTCAAACCCACGTGGACAAACTGCATCCATGCCTTTTGGCTTTTGAGTTCATGCTCCAAGCTCTTGCTGGCGCTCGCATAAAGGGGGGAGTGGCTCATCAGTAATCTAGATTTCAGACGCATGCAATGACCACCTCCGGTGTTTTTTGTGTCGTCGTTTGATGATGGGACTGAATGCTGTACTAGTGTAGCTACGATTTCACGCTGTAATTGCAGTACTGACTCGGGTTGTTGTCTGATGACGCACATAGACGAGTGGTACCCATTCCGGTCTTTTTGGCCATTACTCTAGAGTAAACTTTTTAGGCCTAAAAAGCGATCTCCTTTTTGAACATTCAGAAAGGCCTTTTTCTAGATATTTATCGATGTCCCCTTCTGTGCGATAGAACCATTCAGTCAAACGAATGCTGCGCGCTCTCTCTATGACGATAACGTGCTTTCCCTGATTCAACAAGCATTCCACCGTACCGACCGAGCCCTTAGACTGCAGAAGCCCCTCGAATCCATCTGGGTGAACCCGCGGTCTGACAGCTAACGTGCGTCTGGCCGAGCCGCCCACCTTCCGTGGGGTCCAGTGCTGTGATGGACGGACCAGCAAGGTAGAGGTGGAAGAGATGGCCACTGGACCAGCAAGTTCCTGACTGTCTTTCGCCAGTTTTATCGCTCCTTTATTGCCAAAACTGAATACAAATCTCTGTGTCATCCATTTACTTCTACCCCTCGACGCTCTTGCGCCGCCTATGTATTCTTAATGTATGCTGATTGTATTGTACAAATCCAACAGACACAAACACGCACCACACAGTGCTTCCATGCACGGGCTCCATTTTGATTGCCGGGAGAAGCTTTTTGTTGGTCCTCAGTGGCTGTGCTATAACTTCTTGCATTTTCGAAGGTGCATTTCAGTTTGACAACCGCACCGAGAATCTGTTTGCCTTTCTCTCGATTTTGAACTCTGTTGTGCCCAACTCGTCAGTTCATAAAATCACATCTATCAGATGATGGCGGTAGCCCTACTTCCCCAAGAACAGTTTCCTTCAAGTGGCTTTCTTTTACGATTATTCACTCAATCGCTATGAAGTGGGCGTGTACAAAGACGACCGCATAGGGTTCACGTAGTTGGGATGATCTGATAGATTCTAAATTTAGCAGAAAGCGGATACAATTACGTCGCTTCGGTGCTGTGAGGCAGACTGTATGCTGAACTCTGGAGTATAGTTTCAGAGCACCGTTGAGCGGGCCGTTTGCATCTGGCAGTTGAGTGTAAATGTACGTGTCATAGAAGGAAGGAGGACTATCAGTC